AAAAAAAGAAAAAATAGAGCCAGCTAGCTCTTAGTGTCATGATAGAAAGTCAAATGACAAATTCTCTTCCACACAAAGATAATCCTGCACAGAGGCCATGACAGTGTGATACGAAGTAAAAAATGTGAGGTTTACTAAAGGAAGAAAGAGAAAAGCCAAATGTACCAATAATCCAACACATTACATAGAATAAAAGAAAAAAGTGTCAGCTGGATAGTCGTTAGTGTTATCAGGCAAAATCTATCCCAGTGCACTGCTGGCGACCTTAATGAGGTCTGTACCATACCATTGTTTGCATATGAAAACAGATAGACCCCGAACACCCGTCCTTTAACATGTTTAGAGTAACACTTTTTGCTTTGCTGGTGAAATACAAAAAGAAAGAAAGTTCATCTTTACAAAAATGGACTATTTACCTTAGGTTTGGCTTAACAACAGTACCATTACAAGCGTAGTGTACGTGTCCTATACATCAGTGCTCCTCAGCTTAAGGCTTTAGAATCAAAGCACATTCTTATCCCAACTCGCATGGAGGTAGAAGTACTGCAGCAAGCCCACACAGTCAACGTAAAAATAGTTGCACGTCCACGGACACTGAAGGTGATTCTGTCGTTAAAAATGCTGCAAAGAGCAAAACGTGAACTTAGTCTGAAACTGTCTGAATTCTTCTGTTGTTTAAAACAAGTGAGGCAGTCGAAAACACGTCCTCCACTGGAAACCTTTAAAAAGAGGAAAAAATACTCCTAAAATGATCTCCCTCTTTACACTTTCACACAAATATAAATACAACATGCTCTTCTTTACATGAGGCTCACTTATACTTTATGCAGTATCCTTGGACCTTCGATTGAGCTGACTGAAGTCCACGATTTCATACTAAACAGGAAACAGAGGCTATTCCAATGTAGACTCATTCAAACTGTACCTCGCAGAGCTACTGCAGTCTGTAAAAGTAATGTTTGTGGCAGGTTACATGAACGATGAATATTTGTTTTCATAGATTATATTCAAACTCATCTCACATCAGTCACACCTGTGATGGAAATGCAAATGCATATATCCACTTGTAGTGCATCACAGTTTTCCATTGTTGATCAAACGATTGCATATTAAACTTGATTCACTTCAAAAGGTTTTTTCAATTTCCAATTAGAAAAAAAGGCGTATCTAATGTATAAAAGACCTTTGTGTTTGCCGCTCTTTTGGTTTAAGCAGAGCTCTTAAATGATCATACATCATACATGTTCCAGCGATGGGAAACCATAAACAACAGGCGTGACTACAGTGTGACGGTTGGTCTATTGAAACAAGTGTGTTTAGAATAGAGGAGAAGCAATTCTGAGTGTTCAGCTGAAAATAGTGTTTATGGTGTGAGTATCAAAACGTCCGTGAAGAGTCTCTGCATGTACACAACATGCTGCTAGTCATTAACTAGTCGATAAACATGGTACTGCGCTCCATGTTCGCTTGTGGACACTTCAAACACAAAGGCGATGCACAGCAGAGTCTCCTGAGTTTCTCTGTTGGACACCACCTGGGAAAGACACAAAGACAAGAAAGGCACTGAGGCGGGAGAAAGTACATTTGTCAATGTGCAGCAAAACCTTTTCAAATTCAGTTCATTACATTAAGAAGGTGCAAAAATACCTTTGCGTACAGTTAGGCCTACAGTGGATTTAAAAATAAATAAAATCAATCAATTAATAAATATGTGACCAAACTGCAAGCTTTAATTCAAGGGGTTTTACAGAAACTTTGGAATAACCCAATCGCACCCATTTTTATATTTCTATTA